AAGATTCCCCTTTGTTGGCGGGTTTCCCAGGTTTCAGTAGTGGGACCACTCTTCCGACTGCTGCTAAATTGTCGTAATTGCCGCTATCCGACCACTGTAGCATATACATTTTAATTTGACATTAAATTAAAATTTTTTTAATTGACAAAATATTTTCTGAAAGCATGACAGATTATTTTCCAAAACCATGCTAAAATCTCCTAATAAATTAATCAGAACCATTATGGCATAAGTTCTTGTATGGAATCATTTGAATTTGCTTAGTAGTAGTATTGCAGCTTCGGTGCATCCGTTAGTTAACGTTTTTTTTTTCTTGCTTTTGTTTGCCTATAAATAGTGAACATCTGTTATTATTGTTTACTAATTAAATACACACACACATTTTATTTGGTTTCGTTTGTAAGTAATAAAAAATACATATTTTATAATGAGGAAATTATTTGCTCATAATTCAAAGAATATATATTTATACATAAATATTTAATAACGAACTTTGGAAAAACCCTAACTTTCAGCTTTAGCTTCCTTACAATTAACACCAAATGCACCAAAAATAAACCAAGAGAGGAACAATGTTTTCTGCCGAGGCGCCCAAGCATGCATAAATGATACCAGACTGGATATTATTCGCTTGTGACTACAAAAGCGTTGCTATTTTTATACAAAAGAACATTTTATGAATCTTCTTTCTTTCCATGCTAATTGGGTATACGAAAGACTCAAGTCTAAAACCATAATAATATTCCCGCGGCAGCGTAGTCTACGTAACCAAATGTCGGCAAAACGTTTGAAAACTATTTCGCAATTATATTTTTGTTTCTTAATTATTGGCGTAGACGTTATCTATTTATATTCCAGACATAAAAAAACAATGGCAGGCTACGTAAACAGTCTATATAAAAATCAAAATTTTTTTTTATTTTAGAGATAATAACTTTTTATTTTAAATTTTTAAATTACTATTATACCGCTGATTTATTTATTTCAGAAGCCAAAAAATTTTGTTCAATATTTCGTCAATACTACTATGCATTGCATTAATATTAATAATAAGTTCTTTTAATAATTTTACCTTCCAAATATTATTTTTAATTATACTATACATACATCACGTAGGATCTGATTTGGTTATCTGCGCCATATCTGTACAGTTCTTTTACGTATGCTTTAATAATTATACTAAGTATGACCACTTTATATTTGCGTCAAACGCCTCCTACAAAATGGATTTATTTATCAAGTACAATCATTTCATGCAAAAAACCCTTTTGCGTAAAAATATAAAACCACTTTCACAACAAAGAATTTATTGACATATGTATGTATATATGATATATTAGATATGTACCTACATGGCATTGTTAGTAACATTTCAACAAACTAATATTTTTTAAATCTATTGCAAGAATATATGCAGTGGAATGCTGTGACAATTTCTTTACGGTTTTATAATATGAATTTACTTTGTTCGTGGGTGTAAAACCCACTCCTCCGATTCTATTTAACTTTCACTTGTAGCACCAATTTATCAATATTGGTATTTTATGATTATTGTTTAACTCACCCACATATAATGATGCCAAAGCATTGTACCAAAGCAGGATAGAAATTATTCATTGACACAGACGGATCGGTGTCCGGTGCCGCAGTGGTGCTGGTGGTCAAAACAGCTGGCGTAGTGGAAGTTGAAAACATGGTATCCATATCTTCCGAATCCATGTCCGCATCAGCACTATTGGCATCCAATCCACTTGAGGTTAAATTGCGAAACACGCCGAAAACCATTGAACTATCCATTTTGATTTATTTTATTTTTTTTTTAACGCACTGTTGTGCCACGATTTACATAAATAATATACTATATATACTAAATATTTTGCAAAATATTTGCAATTATAATTTACGTGCGCGCACAAATTATATAGCTTGGATTATTGATATTAATTAAACAAACACAAAGCAAATTATTTGCCACTTTTCAACGAACAACGATGGCCGCATGATTCAGCAGCCGCCGTTTAGTGCGCAACGGCTTTTAATATAAAATGGGGTGTTTATTCCCACCGACACTTTAAGTAATTCCACGCGCAGACACTTGAGACAGGGCAGATAATGGGTCTTGGTAACAAGTATTTTCTATTTTAAATAATCTTTTAAGTAGTTATCATTGTTTATTGTTAATATCAAAATGATACAATGTGTAGCGCTCGAAATACTTTCACTACGGCGCGATGTTATTGTTTGACCTCGTATTTAGTGGTGTTTATTTAAATTTTTTTTTTTGTTACTTGCAATTTTTTTTCTCGGCCAAAGACTTCAACTACCTATGTATATGTTTCACATATTGATTAATTATATCAGGAAGCAACACTTTCGTTTTTTTTTTGTATATTTTGCGGAACCGGAGTACGTTATCACTGTTTAGTGCCACTACATGCTTTGGACGTATTTTGGTCGAATTTGATTAATATATGCCGAAACAGAATTGCTTCAACTCAGGAAGAAATAAAAAAACAAGTATTCCTACACAACAAAATGTCAAAATAAATTTTTCAATTGATGGCAATAGCGCGCCACCTGGTGACAATTTATGAACAGCTGATTTTTTCGAGTTGCCAACGCTTCAATAACATTTAGAAACTGTTTTAAGAAAATGAAATACCGATTTGTATTATTTAATTTTTATTAAAATAAGAAGCACAATAATTTTCTAACTTAAGCCTTGAATAATATGCACTTACTTTTTGCCACCTTTCTTCACTTTACCCCGTTGATTCTTACGCATGCTACGTTTCCTATTCTCCGCTTTACGCACTGCATTATCAGCATTACGTTTCTTGATGAACTCCAAACGCATGCGCGCCTTTACAATCTGCTCCGGATGCCGCAATTCATTGACACCGCCTGCGCGCTGCTTGGCAGCCACCTTGGCATTATGACGCGCATGCTGACCAACAGGATAACGTTTTTCGTGAGACAAAGGTTTGAAACCATCATCGTCACCGTCATTTTCACGTTGCAATTGCTCTTCGATTTTGGATTTTTCTTTCCAATCGCTGTAACGGCCCGTCTTGAAAGAAGCCGGTATCCAGGCACCGGATTCGGTGCGTATTTTGCCAGCGCGTGGATCTTGAACAGAAACCATTTTCTTCTTGATGCGATCCCACTTCTTCATGCCCGGCTTGGGGCGAAAATCTGAGCTATTATCACGATCGACCACTGAAAACTCAGCATTCATAGCTTGACGCTCGAAAGAGTTAATCGCCAGACCGTCCTCGGTGTGTTTATCCGCTGACTGATAGGGAATATAATGTTCATTATCCTTGGCATGAGTCTTCTTCTTTTTCTTCTTCTTGTCTTTATAGAGATCCTCGAGGTTTTTGCGCTTTTTGGGTGCAACAATTTTATTAAAAGCCTGCTTAATTTCCTCGGCATCTGCTTCATCAGCCTAAAAAGTATGTAATAGTGAAAATAGAAAATAAAAGCATTTAAAAAAGAACTTGTACATACTTCTTCCTTTTCATCTGCTTCCTGTTGCTTATTAGCTTCCTCCTTCTCGATTTCATCCATCTTATTTCTGTATTTCTCAATGACATTCGTATGCTTGGAACGCTTGTCTTTCATTATACTGAATGGTAGAGACTTTTGGCTGCGATTCAACTCGAAAATCGTCTGAAGTGCAAACAAATCAGGATTAATAAAAACATGTTAAAATTATTAACGAATTTCTATATCATTACTCACCGTCGAAGGCTTAAAATTTCGCATTTTCAACAATAAATCCTGCTTCTCCTCTTGCAATCTGCGATCTTCTGCCACCAAATCTTCCTTTGACTTGCTGTCAGTTTCTCTATTTGCGCTTTGCGATTGTCGCAACGAAATATTTGCTGCCAGGAAATCGTCCAAGTTTTTGCAGCTGAAAAATTTGATTTTCTTAATGCGCGCATTGGATTCTGCCGAGGCCACAGGACGCGACGACAAGTATTTTTTGTATGCGTTTTCACTTGTACGTAGTACACCAGCCTAAAACAAAAAAATTAATTTCAATAACGCTCATAAAATTGTCGAAATTAATATCACTTACAATATCATGACTGTTCTTAACTTCTGTCACAGATAGATGCTCCTCCTCCATTAGCTCTTGCGGTGCAATGCCAACCGTTTTATCGTCATTTATATTGAATGGACGATTCAAGAATAAATGCAAATCAAGCACATGCGCCGCATCATCAGTGGAGAATATTGAGTAGGCGGTGCCGGTACGACCAGCGCGAGCACAACGTCCAACACGATGTACGAATAATTTCGGTTTTCCAGGGAAATGCAAATTTACTACATAATCCAAGCTAGGTATATCGATACCACGTGCTGCCACATCGGTTACAGTTAACACCGAGACTTTCTTATTAACAAATTTGGCTGTGTTAATCTTACGTGCTGCGGGGTCTAAACTAGAATACACAGCCGTGTTGGAAATACCGCATTTGGTTAGGATCTAAGTGCAGGGGATATAAATAAATTTATATTGTAATGATTTATTTATAATATTTACTTACATAGCATATCAATTCAACATGGTGTTGTGTACCAGCAAAGACCACGGTTTGAGCATCTTGCGGTATTACATATTTGAGCAACACAACCAAGGCGGTATAACGTTCGTCCGGACGGCAGTATAAGAATTTAAGCATTAAACCTTCCGGTAATTTTGACTCAACATCTGTTAATATAGAACTTTAATAAGCCGAACAGCCTTAAAAAAAATAAACTGTATATTTACCTAAACGCAACAAAATCGGATCGTTTAAGCCAGCGCGAGCAAAATTCACTAGGAGTTTGGGTAGAGTAGCAGAGAAGAGCACGGTTTGCCTGGACGCTGGCAAACGGTGCAATGTTTCATTCAGTTGTTGACCAAAGCCCATTTCAAACAGACGATCTGCTTCATCGAACACCACATACTCTGAGGGAATATATTAGTGAAATTAGTAGTACAGTATAATATATATGTACATATTTATAAAAATTTTGTACATACCAACTGAATTCAATTTCAAATCCATTTCAACACATAAATGCAGAAAACGACCTGGCGTAGCCACTATAACGTCGGGGCAAGTGTGTATAGCTGTAAACTGTGAGTCCATTGAGTCACCACCAAGCACTAAAATTGTTTTGAGATCCATAAAACGTCCCAATTCTTTGATAAATTTGTAGGTCTGCACAGCCAATTCGCGCGTGGGCGAGAGAATTAGAGCACGCGCACCTTTAGTGGGTTCCCTGCTCTTAAGTTTTTCAAACATTGGTATCAGAAAGCAAGCAGTTTTGCCTGAGCCAGTTTTAGCCATAGCCACAACATCACGGCCCTCAAGTATCAACGGTATGGTCTAACGAAAATACATAAGTACATGTAAATATGAAATGTTTTTGGTAATTTTGTCACAATTTGTAGTTTACCTTCCGCTGTATAGGTGTCGGTATTTTGTAACCACGCTTAGTGATACCTTTTAGTACGTCGAAGGAAAGACCCATCGATTGGTAACCTCCGCTTTTCTTAGATTTATTTTTAACTTTAACAGTCTCCGTATTCCCACCACCGCCCACATTATCCAGTGCTGGAAAGCCGGGCAAGTCTATATCGTCGTGTTTCTTACCCTATAAATTAAAAAACACATTCTCTACAAGTTGATTGAAGAAGTTTTGTAAAATATTACCATTTTGCAAATTTATTGTATGTTAAATAAAGTTTTTATGATGTTTTTCGGAACAAATGCGAAGATTCAGACACGTGCAACTTGATTTGTTTTGGTGATGGGTTTCAAATAAAAGAAATGTCAAAAAACCAGACGGCAGTGAACAGCTGACTGATTTGGTCGGCAATGCAGAGCAAGTTTAACCCATTACAAATATTTTTATTCAATAATTATTTAATATGAAAAGAATTGAATTATCAAATTGAAATGTAACCAAGTTATGCCCTTACAACAACAATAATAACAATATCCGGATAACTGTATAAAATGTGTACTAACCCGACAAATATAAGTTTTTAGAATACCTTCTGTGGGAGAAAGTGTACACAATTCGCCGATAAGCTGGACCGATTATACCTCATACTTTCAAAGCCACCTCATTAGAGGTTTGGAACTCCTTTAGATGTATACCGAAACCTATTTTTAGATTACAAAAGTGTGTCTGTGTCTGTCTGTCGCCTAAAATAAAACAGAAGAGAGAACTAAGATGTAGTTCCTTGAAAATACGTCCCTTGGCTGGAAGAAACCATAAGTTCCAGTCGGCTCGGTTGAGTAGATCTAACTGTTGTGGGAACGAGAACAACAAAATCAACAACGATTCATAGCCACAATGATTGCAGAGCTACAGCTATTCCTTTGATAGTTTTGAGTTCGTACCTTTCAAAATGTTTACCTCTTTTCCAAAATGGTTTTCCATTGTTTTAACATATTACAAAATGTTATTTGTTTTTATTAATTCAAACTACGAGATAACATAAACTCACTTACATTTTTTTAAAACGTTTTTGTAGTATGCGTGTTAATTTAAATTCTCACTTTTTTGTTATTTGCGTTTCTTATAAACTACATATGCATTAATGTAAACAAAAATATTACTTCGCTTTTTGACTTCAAATAATGCTTACTTCATATATACATACAAGCAAATTACTAATAATTTCTTTAAATATAATTTTTTCCATATGTTTTAATGCATGTATGTATGTTTATGATGATTTTTGTGTGTTTACCAAACTTGTTTCATTTGTATTTCACATTGTCATTAGAAAAATATAAAAATCTTAAAGAATTAACAATTTGTGAGATATTAAATTTGTATGGAGATAGTTTTTTCTTTGCATTATTTTTTGGTTAACAACAATAAAATTAAAGTAACAGCAATACGTAAACACTATATTGAGTCAAAATATTAACTTGCTGGTATTTTTTTTTTTTTTTGTTTTTTTTTTTTCTAGTGTGAGAAGATTAAAGTGTGTATAACACTGGTGCTTATTGAAATTTTATGAATATTTAGCAGACAACATTTTAGAGCTTACTAATTCAGTGGCGAAGTGCAACGCTTTGCATTTGTTTTATGTTAAGAAAAACATACAATTAAATATTTACAGTTAAGAATTAAATTAAATAGTAGTTCAACTTATTTATGAATAATGCTCACAATTATTGCAAGTGAGCGCATAACTTATATGACTAAATATATAGTTTACTTAACGAATGCATACTGCAAATGCTACGACATTCAATTAAAGGCGCTTTAACTCGAATGATCATTACACAACTACACTTCTTGTTTGTGTGTGTTTTTGCCTGTATATTGTAATTACAAAATATTTTCAATTAAATAAAAAGTAAGAAGTTTAATGAATACCACTAAACGACATACAATTAGTGGCTACCACTAGGTATCCACATAGCCATCATCCGTTTTCTCCACTAGCAACAGCTCCTCCAAACGATCCAAACGCTGACGCATCTCCTCCTTCTCCTTTTGTGCCGCATCGAATTTGCGCCTCAAATCGTCGTTCTGCCGACGCAGCTCGTATAGTTGACGGCATATTTCCGGCACAGATAGCAGAGAGATGACAGTAGAGCCAGCTTGTGGTTTGGCAGCTTCACCGCCGGAGATGTTGAGTTTAGTGCCAACCAGCGTGCCTTGCTTGGTCGTCAACTGACGTATTACTTGCGGCGCAGCGATATTCAACAATTGTTTAGTGCCTTGTATGCTGACGTTAGATAGTTTTTGCTGTGGCTGATTTTGTTTTTGGGCTTGTTGAGTTTGCTGCTGTTGCTGTTGCTGCTGTGCATGTTCGCTGTCCGACAATTCGGTATCACTATCGTTTGGCGCCAGCTGTATTATCGAATCAATATCATCATCCTCGGCTATTATAGTCGACGGTTGCTCCGTCTTTACCACTGTTTGGCCAGCTTTCAACTGCAAGGAGACAAAATATAAGGTTATGTTTAAAAAGTTCACAGAAAAATTTTGTTGCGTAGAAAAATAAATAATGAAATTAATTAATAATAAAAAATATATAAATAAAATATATAATTAAAAATATTTAAATAAATTCACACGACAAATAAATTAAGCGCATAAACCACGTTTGTTTACAAAAATCTATGCATTTATTTATGAAACAACTTGGACATTTATTATTGGCTAAGTAATTGAAAATACCTGTCGTTGTGCTAAGGTGCGTGTATTGGTGTAAACTTGTCGATTACCAGGATTAAGTATTCGTTGCTCTTCACTAATTTGCCTTATACGCGCCAAACGTTCACTACAAATAGAGAAGAGCTCTAATTAAGATAAAAGATTAATTTGGACTTAATTACCTCGCCATGGAAGCAGGTATCTTTTGCACGCCTTTAATGTTTGTATTGCCGTAAAACTTTTTAAAATCGTTTAGTGAAATGATGCGCACGTTCTGGAAAAGAGTAATTTGTTTTTATTTTTTATTAGTTTTTCGATAAAGTGTTGTGTGATTTAGTAAGCGCAGCCAATTCCATGAATCTTATTACTTTCACAAGCGCTTATGAGCTTCTACTAACCTTGTACATATTGAGATTATCTTTCGCTTTGGATATGATGCTCGCACGCGCTTTGTAATTTTGCGTGCGCGATGCTAGCGTGCCGCGCACGGGCAACACCGTATAATTTCGCACATTGCTGGTATTGGAATTCACGTTTCCACTACTACTGGAGGCACTTTTACCGTTATTATTATTATGTATTTTTTTAGTCTCATTAAGCAACAATTTACCACCCTCGGACAGCACCAATTGGCGCCCGTTTTGCAAAGCAGTGGCGAGCATCTCCTTTGAAGTGTCTTCGTCCTCCGGCATCATCGAAATGCCATGGTCCTTCAACATATTGATAGTGGTCTTGTCCAGAACGCCGGTTTCTAGTGACAAATAATTGTAATTATAATATAATATATATATATATATATAAATAAGTACCCTTAATGTTTGCCAAATCGGACATTTTGGACTCTGCGAAGTCGCTATTATTTGTTAGCTCATCGTCGATATCCAGCGTAATTTTTGTGGAACTTGCGGCCTCTTCCGCGCTAAAATTTGTTAAACCCATTATGGAGTTCACCGCATCAGATGTCTCTTTCTGTAATGTGGCATTTCATTAAAATATATTCAGTATGATTTTTTTTTACATTTGTATTAGATATACTATATGCATAAAAATACTAACAGTAATTTAGAAAAGTAGACTACTAGAAATTATTAGATAAATTTTGAAGCATTTTCTTCGGCCAAATTGTTAATAATACGCACAAAAACAAATTAATATCGAAAGGGCATACATACATATACATATCTAAACAAGCTAACGTGAATACCTACTTTGAAACGCTTGGCCCGCACCTGTGAGCATATTTATGATTTTTTTAGCATAAGTTGTATGTATGAATGCACGCGTATTTGTAATAGAAAAGCACAAACAAAATTAAAAATTTAAGCGGGGTTCTTTATAAAATATACACATTTATGTATATAACTGCGAATAGTAATGTAACACTTAATGTTGCTGTTAAAAGTGCAACAACTAACAGCACTCATTATATATCCGTTAGAAGTTATGCTCACCTCATGCTCCTCATTATATTTGCGGTTTAATTGCGATTGCCGTGCGGATTCCAATTCCTCGAGTAAGTCAGCTTGTTCCGTCAACACTGCGAGAGCGATGGGTGTTTTACCGAATTTGGAAGTAACCGTCACGTCAGCATTGTGCTTAAGCAACAGACGCGCAATAGACTTATGGCCTTTTTCCACAGCCCAATGCAAAGGTGTCATGCGTAACTAAAAAGTGTGAGGAAGCAAATATATAAATTAATAAATTGCTTACGAGGAAACTTCACAAGACTTGACAAACGTACCATATCACGTGGATTCACTATGCATTTCTTGGATAGCAAAAGTTCTACTATGCGTTCATTGCCGTAGAAGCACGCCATGTGCAGCGGCGTACGATCTACTTTTGTTTTCGAGTCCTTATTGATTCCGCCCTTCAAAAGCGCGTCGCACACCTCATATTGGTTATTCATAGCTGCAAAATGTAGCGCCGACATGCCCAACTACAAATAAAATGATAAAATTTTATTTTATTATCCATGAAGTAATTTGTTAAGCCAAGCAACAATCACACAAGAATACATACCCAGTCCGAGGTGAATGGTGCGCCGCGCGACAACATATTTTTCACTCCCTTCAGATCACCGTCACGCGCGTACTGTAACAGTTGTTTACCCAAATCCACTACGGTTGTTGGTACACTGAATGTATTGAGCGCCTTATTGCTGACATCCACTTCCGTACGCTGTAGCACCAAATTGAAAAATTGCAATAAATACAAACACAGGAATTTTGTTAAGCAATGGTGCACGAATGTTAGATGTAGTAAAACTTACAATTTTATAATTCATTAAATTCACTAATTGTCCAATGGAAGTGCCACTTGCAGGATATACACTTCCATCCGCTCGTAAAGTGGCCACAACTTTATTGTCGCCACCGCCGCCGCCGCCTACCATTTTCCACGTTCGTTTCACTATGCCTTTTGCTTCGAACGTACTGAGACTGTGTCACAAACTCGACTGTTAATGTTGGTGTGTTGTAATCTGTAAAAACATTTGGTATTTGTTAGATTTATCAAAAACAAAATTAAAATTAAAGGAAAAGGAAACAAGGCGCACGTACAATCAAAGCAAGCTTTTTCTTTTCCGTCACTTCGTTCGCGTCGATTCGTTTTGTGATGTTGCTTCGTTGACCAA